ATAACGGGCTGGCAGACTAATGCCAATAATCGACGCGGCATGCTAATGTAGTTTGCGCATCTATTACGCTAAGCCTGACGGATCCCTCTTGACATGTCGTTCCTGGAGCGTGAATACCTTCGATCGCAGAGAACGCCCCGAAGGTGTCTGCCCCCGGCGACATCCACAGCCGTTCTATTTCCTCTGGTGAATGTCATTCTGACATTTAGCATCTGAATGGAAAAGACAATCGCTCGAGACAGCTGGTCTCCGGAAGCGAGTTTGACGCGGCGGAGAGATAACGTCAGGTGGCCGAGTCGTTTCGCTACGCGATGTTTCTCATTGAGTGTCACGAATCAACTACGTTCAGATTAGAAATCAAGATTGTCATTGACGACATTCTATAATTCTGCCGAAACAACCGATACGAGACACGTAGAAACGCCGCCCGATTTTATTCCGATAGAACGAGATAGATCCCTCGACGAGTGTACTTGTGCGAAATGCGTAAATGATCGTGGGAACGGATTAGGCGGAAACGGCGATCAACAGGAGTTAGGAAGGAAAGGATAATTCGACCCCTGGAACAGCCGGCGGCTCGTTGGTGGAATTAAACGTCGCGACGGAATGCAAAGTGGCCGTGCTATCTCGACTTGACAAAATCAAGAGCAAAGGAGGAGAGCAATGGAGGGGGAGGGGAAGAAGAAGGAGGCGTTAAGATTCTTAAAAACCGCGAAGAGGGTGAGCGCGTCCCGGTCGTAGCAGCTGCCAACCCCTGACGCTTCTCCTTAAGCCGTGGGCTATGGGAATGGCAGAGTTGCCCCGGCCGAACCGAGGTGGAAGGTAGTTTTTCTGATTGCCTGAGAACGGGCAGCTGTCCCAATCTTTCTCGGCTATAGCAACCGAGCGAGCTCTCGGCGGGATCTCATCGGCTCTTGTAAATAACGCCTGACCGTGCGCCGTTTACGAATAACTCGAGTGTGCCAAGCGAGCCTAGGTAAACCGGCAACCGGCTAGTGAAAAAAAAAAAAAAAAAAAAA